CTATCCCAGCTGAAACCAGGACACAGTGTAATTATTCTTAATAGTAGTGCTTCATGTTTTTGACAGACCCAGATTTGATTCTCAGCAGTCTCTCTTTCCAAGCTGATGGTGCTGCAGAGGGACAGCTGAGGTTAATGTTACTGACAAAGATGATAAAAGATTTTTTTATTGTTTAGGGCTCAAGAGTAGAGTTTCAAGCTGGCATCGTTGGTGTTAAAATTACAGCTTCCTTTTTCTATTGTCTCACAACTATTTTGCAGTTGTTGCTTTCATCAGACTTTTAATGGATTAGGCATGCAATTAGATGGTGGTTAGAAAAATCAAGTTGAAATTTTGTGGGTGTTTTTGCAGAACATACTCGGGTGTGACAGACTATGCCTTGTGGGATGAATATCCCTGTGAGTCAGTACTGGTGATGCTAACAGATTAATGTTGTTGTACTCTGATTTATGGTAACCTTATTGCAGATTAATTCTGCTAAACAAAAGCAATTTATAAGTTTATTAACCTTTATATATTTTATTGGTGCACAGATCCTCAAACTGAGAGGACCCAGTGCAGTGGGTCTCTGTCACCAGTCAGTTTGAATGTACAGAAGCTGTAATATAACCTGTTTAATTAAATGGGCCAAATACGCTACCGAGCTAGGCTGGCTGTGGTACGTCTGCGATTCGTGGTGTTGTAAACAACTATCTCCCATGCTAAATTCTTTGGTATTGCAGTAACCCGTGAATGTGCCCTTGCGCATGGAAAGGGAATTATAAAGGTGCTGGCGATGGAGGGAGATGCTGTGTTGCTGAAGATTGCATCATTTCATCCTAAGGCACCAATACACAGAGAAAATTCCAGATGATTAGCTTGAAGAAATGCTAGAGGATTGACAATTCTTGTGAACAAAATGCAGTTTGACTTGCTCTGCTGATTGTGTCTGGGCCTGTGGTTCTGTGATCTGAAGTGTTACTCTGAAAATGACAGGCAAGACGCAGGAACAGTTGCGTTCCCTTGTCACCCTGCAAGTGCCATTGTAGCCACGTACTACAAACTGTTAACTACAGGCTGTTAAGATGCGCCTGGATTTGTGGAGGAAAGGAGCGAGAAGATGTAACTTTGAATCAGGATTGTGAGTGGGGTGGTTTCAGAACAATGTTGATACCTGTCTTGGGAAGGCAGCGTGCGCAGTCTTTTAAAAAGAGGATGAAAGGAAGATGTCTGTGTGATTGGAAGATTACTTGATAAAGTGCAGAGGGGAATTCGAAGACACCTGTAAACATCCAGCACTTACTAAGAGTGAATAAAACAAGCTGTGGCTGAAGTATCAGGGATTCTCTCTGTTCTCTTCCAGGTTTATGCTTGTATGATGGTCTTCTTCCTGAGCAACATGATTGAGAACCAGTGTATGTCAACAGGCGCATTTGAAATAACTTTGAATGGTGAGCAGAGAACTTTCTGCTTTAAGGGAATTGCTTTGTGTTGCATGTGTATGCACAGATTTGTGAGAGCTGTTGTGTTGGGAGAATGAGGGATGATGTTATGAAATGTGCTGTGTTTCAAAATGTGATGGTATGTGGTAATTGCAGTCCATTTTGAAACTTCAGATGTTACATGTCACAATAAATAATGAAAATCATAGATGTCTTATAAAGCAGTTTATACAGATGTCAGCTACGTATATTTTAAAATAGCTACGTAAAAAACTTTCTGAGAGGAATGCTTGGTCACTTGGAGTAGCTGTATTATGTTCTTTCTTTGCATGTGATGTGCATTAAGTAAGAAGTGATCAACAAGGGAAGCGTACTCTCTGGTTAATTAGATGCTTTCCCTATCCTGTTTTCTAATATGGTTTAGCCTTGGAATCCTGTTGAACCCATGGCTATTCCCAGATTTTCGGTACCATTGGACAGCAATACTGATTTTTCAAGTTAAGAGTCGGTGGACCTTCTGCCTTCAAATAATTTTATGGTTTTAAAGATTATGTAAGCTTGATGGAATACAGAATTTGTCAAGCTCTAGGTACAAGTATGTAATCTAGCTCTGTGCTTTATAATCTCAATTTATGATTGTGCATGATGAATTTCAATATAGTGGTTTCTAAGTCAAGTCATATACTGCAGAACCTTTTAAAGACTGACTATATTGCATCAAAGTAGTTGAAGGTGATGCACTTCTAGTCCTAAATCTCAGCTCAGAATTGGCAGCAGGGCCTTCCTAGGGGTGAACAGTCATATCTGGACTGCTGTAAATTTCTGGTTTGCGTTTTGGGACAACGTGGTTCCAGTCTGGCTTTGGTTTTATATAGATAACAGCAATTGTGGGTTCATGAAGTGCTGTAGCAGTGAGAGATATTTGAGGGAGTAAGTATTTGTCAACATCAGAAATTAATGTTGTGTTTACCCTGCAGTGTTTATGGACTGTGCTGCCTTTATATTTCGGGGCGGGGGGAGGGAATAATGGTTGCAGCTACTTTGAGTGGAACGTTCCAAGCCAGATCTTGGTAAGCAGGACTTTTGAGGGTCAGCCTTAGATGTTAGGCAGAAGTGAGAGGAAGACTAATGAGACCCAAAAGTTTCAAAGATTTAGCGGTGGTTTAAAAACTCTGTATGCTATTCTGCCACTCACTAATTATTTTTAGACATTCTGTCAATGGATATTTTGAACCTCTAAATCCATGTGATGTAATTCTAAATGGAAGCATTAGACTCTGTTCTCCTAGTTGGACTGGGTTCTAGAGTAGCCAGAGTTTTGAAGCGTTGTTGATGCAGATATTTCTCTCAACATAAAATAGTACCAACTTGCATAGCTTATTAGATCTTTTTTAAATTTTATGTTTAAACTAGCCCTACATTTTTTCTGACTTTGTCAATGTGCTTTTCTCCCTCCATGTGTTTTGTGGTAGATGTTCCAGTGTGGTCTAAGCTAGAGTCTGGCCACCTTCCTTCCATGCAGCAGCTTGTACAAATTCTTGATAACGAAATGAAGCTCAATGTGCACATGGAGTCAATGCCTCATCATCGATCATAGCCCCATCTATCAGCACTGAAACTTCTTGTAAGTCGTCTTCCAGTCACCAGCTGTCTGGTGACTCGGATGTAAAGGACCGCATGTTGCAGATTGAACGTTGTGATCTTATATTGTTCATTTAAAAGAGTCTTACTGGAGAACCAGCTCCAGTGACTTTCAGTAAATTGACATGGATCATTTTACAGATACTGTTTTGGTGGGTGGTTTTGTTTTGGGGTTTGTTCTACCCATTTCAAAACTGGTAGCTGGCATTCCTTTGGACAGAAAAAAATGTGTTATTGCATGCAGAAGGCCTTAAGTTAGTGAACTCTGTGTTATGCAGAGATCAGAAAACACGCTGCATTATGTGCCTGAAAATAGTCTATGTGCAAAGGGTTTCTCTATAACTTGTAACCTAATTGAATTGCGTGACCCTAGAAAATAGAACATTTTCTTGCTCCTGTCTGTGTGCTGTACTGTTTTAACCTTCTGTAAATATTCCTCAGTTGTTAGGGGCAGAGGGTTCATATCCATGCTTGTATATTTTATGACAAACCAATTCCATCTTCCTATGTCACCTGTGGCTTTCAAAACATTTAGTTTACGATTCTTCATAGGAACGTTGATGTGCTACAAAAAGACTGTCGTGGTGCAAAAATTGGCAGTTGACACTTAGGAGACCACTTAAGTGAAGTATTGATTCGCTGTGGTGCAGTTTTTGGTACAAGAATGCATTGGTTTGAGAGACTGGTTTCTTGGCATTATCTTCTCAGCAGACATCCCACTCTCGAGTGACAGACCCCGTGCTACTGTTTCTGTCGACTGACATCTTGCAACTCGTCTCACTACCTTAAACTGATCAGTTGGTCCCTGCTGTAGTGGTTAATGACTTAGCTCTGTTCAAACACCTGCACAGATTTCCTTTGGAGCTCTGTTTAAAACGATTTGGCTTCTGCAAATTCATATTTACACAAGCAAGAATGTAGCATGTGGAGGTGTACATTCAGAGAAACCTGAGCTCTATCAAAGCACTGCAGGCAGTCTCACTCCTTGTAGGAAGGAGCCAGGGATTGCTCTGCTGTTTCTCGCTGCTTCGGAGCTCGGACTTCGAACCCCACTTTTTTTCTCTATTGATCTCTCCCTCCACTAACACTCCTGCAGCTTCCTGAAGTGGGGAGAGCAATTCAGAGAGCGCACTCCCTTGAAGTCCTCATGCAGGGAATATGAGAAACAGTTGAATTTCGATTCCCGCAGGCATGTCCTGTTGGTTCAGTTAAGTCTGGTTTGTGCTAGTAACTTAGCAAAAGTCATCTTAATCGTGAAGTAAGTTGTTTCATATTTTTAAAATATTATTTAGTATTAAAAAGCTTTGTTTCCTGTACTTTTCAGATGGGCTTGCTGAAGCCCAGCATCCTATGTGTATGGATTTAAAGGGTCTCAGGCACTATTCTGTGTTGCAAAGTAGATTGATGTCATTTCCAAGCTTACAAAGCATGCTAAGACTGTTCTTACATAGGATTTTATTTAATGGGATATGAGTTTAGAAAAACAACAGCAAAAAAAATCTCATTCAGTTTGTGAATGGGAAGTAATACTACAGGGTAGGAGAGTCTGATAGTGAGACTTAGCAACTTTGTGTTGTAGTCTCTCATTATTTGAATTGTCTCATTATTTGAATTCATGCTAATGCAATGTCATTCTGATGGTATCCTTGTAGGCAGTAGCCCAGCATAAAATAATAATAGTACTCTTTTGCCATGAGTTGTGACATTCCAGGAGACAGTGCTTGTAATTCAGGCTTTATAATCCCAAGCGTGCATAGCCTGCTGTTCTCCCTAATTTATGGAAAATGCCTCGGCTCCCTGTTCCGACAGCGCTGGAGATGGTTCGCTCGTGTAACGCGGGAGCAGTTGCCGACTGTAACGCTTGTGTCTCCCTTTCCAGGCATTAAGTGGTGGTTTCCAAAGGCAGCGTGGCTCAGACCCATGAAGGCCTGTACTGAAGACAGCATGCTGTTAGTACAGACCGGATGCTTCTCTCGCAGCCGCGTGGTGCCTCCTGAAAAAAAACTTAATGAAAGACCTCTTTCAGTGCTGGCCTGTTTCCAGATTCTGCACATTCATGGAGTGCAATAATACTGTATAGTTTTTTTAAGATTTCATTCGACCAGTTCATAGCTCAACAATGCAGGCATTACTAATTGTAACTTATTTTATATTCATGTTTCACACAATGGCAGATTGAGTTGATATCTAATTTTTCCTCGGGGAAAAAAGTTTGTTTAATCTGTTCTATTTTATATGAATTTATGTTCTTTTTGTAGTTTAAAATGAAGTTATAGGAGTGTCTGATATTGTCCTAAACTGTTAAGTAATTGACCGCTGTCTATCAAATATTGCTGATGTGGTTAAAGCAGGTTTGTATATTTTTCGAAGTATATGGCAGAGTTGAACAGTGCATTATATACTAAATTATATAAACAAAATTATATGCAGAGTAGTTACGTCGTTTTGTGACTTCAGTAAAAATTAAGATCAACTGCTCTTTAAATTGTGTTGGCCAGCTCAGGAGGTTTTTCCTTGACCATTCTGAAGAGATGAAAAGCTGGGCCTTTCTACTGTCCTAAATAGAAACTAAGAAACTTAATTTAAATAAAGAGTTCCCATTTACTGTGTGAAGTACCTTGTTTGAGTCGCTGATGGACATTCTTAGAATTGCAATTGAAAAAACGCATAAAAAGCCTGCTTTCCAGAGTCATTAATCTTGTGTTGGTCTTGTCTAAGCCTCTAACAACCTCCGTGTTCTGGAAGACACGCAGAGCTTTGTCTTTCCCTTCGTGCGCCTGCCAAAATCCAGCTGCGATTAGAGTTCAGGTGCTGTTGTACCAGGGGAAGCTCATGGGGTTCAAGTGAAGTCTCAAATGCAGTTTTCTTGCGGGGGCTGGGAGTTTTCCTCGGGTTGGCTTCCCGAGTCGGTGTGAGCCGCAGGCTGCAGCCTCCCGTCTGCAGTTCCTCTTCGCCGTTCTATCTCCTGACTGCGCTGTGCTCCAGGCTGGTGGCCGAGCGGCCGCAGCTCCGCCGCCTGTGCGGGGAGGCTTGGTCCTGGCAGCGCCTGCCTCCCGCTCTGTTTTTTTGTCCCCGCTCCGAGCTGCAGGGTTTCACACCTGGTGTAAAACCAGCTGGAGTGTTTCCTGGGTCCTTCCTACCAAAATGATCTCTGATGGAGAGGTGAGGGAGGGAGATTTTCTCTGTTGGGGCAGTAAATCAGATGAGAAGGGAAACTGCAGAGCTGCGACGAAGGCAGCCGTTGCGGTCTGTAAGAATTGTCTTTGATGTTCCCAGGGCTTCGGCGGCTGATGTAAGAAATGTTTCGGGTTACCACAGCTCTGTCCACCCAGCTGAGAGAAAGGTTGATGCCAGCTGTTAGGAAAGTGTTGCTCATCACAGCCATTAAACATGCAGTGGCCTCAGTGCTGCTGTGATGAAATCATCCCCTCAGGTAATTCATGCCTTCTCCTCTGAAATAGAGTAACCAAAATTTGCTAGTGTGGATAGAGTTTTAGTTTGTCATTAATTATATACTTCAGACAAATTAGACAGAAAAGAAACGCACAGGCTAGGCTAAGATTTTCCATGAGTTGTTCACATTATCACCCTGGTGATACTTGCCCACGATCTGCTTGCTGCCCCCAGCATTCCTTCTCTTCCACCTGAGCAAGACGGTATATCCATATGTTGGCGTTAGGTATGCAAGAACTGTTGCTGACGTCCCTTACGTGTAGCGGAAGCGCAGGGCTCTGTGTTTTCCACTGGGGGCACGGGCCGGCAGGGTTTTGGTCGTGTCTGTGATTGCTCTGGGCTGTAGGGTGCGCAGAGCAGGCTTGTTCTTAGGGGCTGGACCAGGCCCCACGACCGCTGTTCACAGAGCACTTCCAAATGGAAAAACTGGACCACAAAATGGAAATAAAGATCCTTGACGGTCATTAAAGGCAGCGATACCTGCCAGCCTTCTCATAAACCAGTTGCCAAATATCAGCTGACGACTCAGTATTTGTGGTGCTTTAACCAGGAGAACTTGTTCTAGTCTGAAACCGGTGTTGCCTAATGTCTAGCTTAAGCCCAGCTGGGCAGTTTTGGATCACAGGTGCCCAAGCCTGGAAACCTGTTTCCAGCAGTGCCTGGGGGACAGACCTGGGCGCCAGCGTACGCTGCTTCACGTTCACCCTCTCTCGCCTCCCAGCCGCCAGAAATACTCAGCACGGGGCTTTCTGGGCCCTCTGTGCTGTCTGTGTGTTCAGTGATCCTGAAAGGGTTTCTCCTCCTTGAATCATCTTGGTAAACGCGTCTTTCTTCTGTGGAGAAGGGTCTGACAGCTAACATTGCTGGGGGCAGCTGGAAGCCCAGGTGCTGTCTTGGTGTTAAAATTGCAGCTTTTTGCTCTCTCCTGCACAATGCTACTTTGTAACTTTAAAATGATCTGAAAGAGCCCTATTGGAACACGTGATTTATTTATCCCTCTGCAAAATGGATACTAAATAATAATTCTGAGGGGCAAATTCAAGCTCATTTATCTTGGCTTGTTAAGCACAAGGGTTAACGATAGAGGTGTGGTGAAGTTGCTGTGAACTGGGTTCAGACTAGGGAAGGATGAAAAATGGGACTCGCGTTTCCCACTGCGAATGCAGGAAAACGGGCTGTTACACGTAAGCCATTTGCAGCAGAGATCTGTCTTGGGGTCTCATCTCACACTGGCATAAGTGAGACGTAACTGTGCTAGAAACTGGAATTACAATGGCACAACAGGTCAAAATCAAACTCCCAGGTGTGACCTTCGTCCTTCTCAACCGAAGATTTAGAATCTAGTAGATTTTGAATCTAATCAAAGGTTTTCACGCAAGGTGCTGTGCCCCAGTCTGCAAGGGTCTGCGTTTCACGGGAGCTGGGCCGTGCGGCAGCAGGACGCTGCTCTGCCTCGGGCCCCGTGGCGCGAGGGGACGGTCCCTTGCTCTGGGGAAAGCTGGGAAATCACCTGGGCACGGAGAGGCAAAGGGGAGCTGGCAGCGGGCACGTGCCAATGCCCTGCCACTTCTGGTAATTGTAGTGTGCGATTTTGCCCAGTGGACTGCGTTACAGGCTTTGGCGTGGATCTAAACCTCAGTTATTCCGTTGAACATCTAGTTTCTGCCCTTTCCCAAAGGCCCCGCTCCCCACTGACACCCCTGCGATGAGAGCAGCGCGAGCCCGGCTGAGCAAGCAGGAGCAGTCCCCTCCACCGCCCCTCTCCTGGGGACGGGGAGTTCCCCGGGGCGGTGGCGGCGGGCAGGCGCTGTGCGTGGCTGCCTGGCCATGGCACCAGCCCCTTCCAGATGGAGTTTGCAGTGCTGTTAGAGCCATCATGCCGCTCATTAACAAGAACTTGCAAGTAATACCTGTCTTGGACTGGCAGACTTAAATTGCAAATCTGTAATAAATGTGAACTCGATGAATGAGGTATGTTTGTCCAGAGCCTAATGTGACATAATTGGATTTAATATTTTTGGATTCGTTTACTGTGCAACTTCCTGTTAGTGTTGCGGTTGCACAAAATCCCTGTTGTGGAGCCTTGAGATCCCACACGGGAGGGAAAGGCATTTGGAGAGAGTCTTAAGAAGGCAGTTAAGTGGCAGAAACCTGATTTAGAAGCCCAAAAAAATGCAGCAGGGTTAAGAGAAGTTGGGATAAAGTCTTAGAAAAGGTATTTTGCTGTGCTGGGAGGGGATGGTGCTGGCTCGCTGGGAGGAGCATGGACCACCCGCGTTCCCATCCTCGCTGACTGCTCGTCCCTGCTTTGTTTGACGACGCTGCTCCTTATTGCTCTGTGTCACAGGCGTGCTCGGGAGCCGGCCAACCCAGCCGGCGCCCGGGTGCTGAGCTCCTGCCCTGGGTGCTTTTGCTCTGCAGCAGCTCGTGCTGAGCGCAGGTGAGGACTCTGTCTCTTCTGCACCTTGGAGCATCCCTGCAGGCGTGGAGCAAAATCAGGTGGGTAGGAGGGAAGCCTAAAGGTCTGGAAAAACCACCGGCGACTCACGGCAGCTGGGAAGGTCCCAAGAGGTCTCCTGGGATGGACAAAGTGCCCCTTGAAGGACTGACTTAGATGCTCCTGGCCTTGGTCTGCAGCTGGAGGGTCTGAGGCACTTCTGTCCCATCCCTCCAGCTCTGCCACATGTCTCCTCGTGGTGGGGTTTTTCTGCGCCGGGGCCAAGTTTTCCTGGGCATCTCTTTCAACCTTCCTCGCCAAGGAAGATGGTCAACCTCCTGTATGCGGTGCTGCATTCCCTCCTGAGCTGCCTCATCCACCTGGCCAACCTGCTGGTGATCGTGGCCGTCTACCAGCTGATGAAGAAGCACCCAGGCACCAGCTATGTCTACATCCTCAACCTGGCCACTTCTGACCTCCTGGTAGGCGTGATGTGCATCACTGAGGCGCTGGACAACATCCTCGACAGGGATTTTGACTGCAGCAAGTCCTTCTGCCTCCTGCGCATTGCCATGAGCCGACACCTTGCATCGGCTCCATCTTGACCCTGCTCCTGATCTCCCTGGACAGGTACCTGGCGGTGACGCTGCCACTCTCCTACCCCACCCTCCTGAAGAAAACGCCCATGGTCCTCTCCCTTGTTGTCCTCTGGATGCTGTCCTTCCTTTTTGGGCACTTGCCTCTGATCTTGCCCTCCCTCCAGCCAGGCAACTGCACGAGTTACTGCAGGCTCCTGCACGCAGCCAAGAGTGAGTACTTCTACGTGATCTGCTTCGGCATCTTTGCTCCATCCCTGCTGGTGCTGGTGTGCGTGCATGTTTCGGTGGGCAGCATCACCTATGTGCAGCACGCACGGCTCCAGCATGCCCATGCATGGACCTCCATGCCCACCCATGCCACTTCAAGAGGGACTGCGGACTGTGCTCATCATCCTCGTCAGCTTCAGCCTCTCCTGGGGCCCCTACCTGGTGGGGTCACCGTGCAGGCCGCCTGTAGCTCCTGCTGGTGTGCGTGCATGTTTCGGTGGGCAGCATCACCTATGTGCAGCACGCACGGCTCCAGCATGCCCATGCATGGACCTCCATGCCCACCCATGCCACTTCAAGAGGGACTGCGGACTGTGCTCATCATCCTCGTCAGCTTCAGCCTCTCCTGGGGCCCCTACCTGGTGGGGTCACCGTGCAGGCCGCCTGTAGCTCCTGCAACCTGGCTG